CTCTTATAACTGTAAGAAGAGACCCGTTAAAGATCTTCTGCTATATAAATACTGTTAAAAGAACTGGAATAACAATATCATATTTATAGTTTGATCTCTCACACATTGTAATGTTATATTGTTGAAATAATTTAATAAATTGAATTTATAATATTTTACTTGTTTATAAACTATTGTCATAATTATCTTATTAAATACAAATTAAATTATAAGAAGATTTCTTAAATCACTTTTTAGCTGACTAGTAATTTAATGAATACATGTCATCATTTTTAGTTATTCATCTTATTTTTTCTATTTGACTTGAAACATGTATTGAGCATGTAAAAAGATATAATATATTTGAAATCCAAGTAAAATGGTGACAATATCATAATAATATAGTCATTTCTCTATATAAGAACACGTTATATAAGAACACCTTTTTATAGGAACACAACTTTGAAAACTGAATAATTAATATTGATAATAAAAATGATTTCTTTATAAGAACAAACTCTCTATAAGAACCAATTTTTATGATCTGATCATGTTCTTATAAAGAGACATGACTGTATAATCTTGTTCTTTATCCTAATTCTTATTCTGATTCAAACGTTAAAATTTATTTTTAATAGTTATTGTTATTAAAGATGATGCAGCAAGCATGTAATACTTATTTGTCACCTATTGCAACACATTGCAACTTCAAAATTTTATAAGTTACACCTAGTTGCAACTAGATAATGCTTTATTTGTCACTATATTGCAACAGTTATCATGCCATCTTTAGTTGCTACACATGTGATTGCAGATTCTTATTGGTTCGTTATCATGTGATCGCGAACCGAGCACAGATTATAATTACGCGTGTTACAATGACGCAGTAAATTACATGTTAGCCCAAAATTTTTACTACTACGTATATAAATATTTAAATAACCCGATCTATCATTTTGTTAAGTCGCATTTAAAAGAAAAGCCTGAAACTTTATTATTTTTTCAATGATGTAATTGCTAATTATTAACTTCCACCTACTCTTGTACATGAAAAATCCAAGATCATCATCATCCTTGTTTATTTACATCTAATAAACACTTGTTCCCTCTCATATCCAAAAAAAGCTCTCCGTCGATATTGTTCTACTTTACTTTCATTTCTTCAATTGCGGTTAATACTTGAGATTTTTAAGTTTTATTTTTTGGTATCCACCACGGTCCGCAGATAAATGTTGATTTGCATTGTATCGATTTTTCATCAACTTTGAAGTAAGTTACGCCCATGGTTCAGTTCATAAAACCTTTTATTAACTTTTTCATATGTTTCCTGTGCAAAATGATTAAATGACATGTCATTTTCTTTGATTTCAAGATAGGAAAAAAACGAATTCATAATTACCAATCAACCAACTTTTAGTACTTACCATTGCATTTACTAATTTCTCCCCCAAGTTTTGATTGGATACAAGTAATTTCCATTGCTGATTGGTTGACCGCACACCGGATCTTCTAAATCAACCAATAAAGATGCATAAATTATTGATCAACCCGGCAAAACAAATCCGGCACAAGAAAGTTAAAAAGACGAATAATGTGAAAAATACGGAAAACGAATGGGTAAACCTGGCTTGAAGCACTAATAAAAAATGTCGGGAAGACAATTTTACATATAACCTTCCCCCCAGTCCTAATCCTAACCCTTAATCCTAATGCTAAAACTAACCTTTTAATATCCTCAACCAATCAAAATTTGGGGGAGAAATAAGTAAATGCCTTACCATTACATGCTTAAAAATTTTTATTGTTGATTTTAATTTTCCGATGTGAGCCAATTTGGTTGGTAACTCAAATGTTGAGCCGGGAAAAACAACATAAAAGCCACTTACCAGGTCTTCTACCAACAGCTGTCCGCAAACGCCCGCAATTTGCAAAAATGGAACCTTGATCGTATCCACTTGTTCATCATTTAAGTTTCTGCTCAACAGGCCATTCAAAATTGATTGGTTAATTCTAGCTGAGCGTCAACGATCTCCGACTGCTTTAGCTGGAGTTGCTTCGGCAGCAAATTCCCATTCACCAAGATCTATTCCTGCAGGACTTAAAAATCGGACATTGCGCTTGCGACCTTTCTCATAACTTGCGGATTGGCTCAAAGGACAAATGATTCGCCCCTAATGCACAAAAATATTCTTAAGTTTATACGCTTGTTAGAGTTCAAAAGGTATTCTTTATTTACCATTTACAATGTATTCCATCTCCGTTTTGCAGTCCTTCAACAATGTAAGTACACACTTTGCAATAACATCAATTTCATTGTGATGTTCGCCGCCACAATCTAACAGATCATTTCTGTCTTTGACCTTAAAAAGGTTTTATGGGCAAATTAAAAAGATAAATAAAGACAAGTTACAAATAATAAAACGAATACAAGTACTCACAAATCACTATAAATTCTACTTATTTTATAAAGACAAGTACGGACTGGTGCATCTGCATGCTGATTGAGACAATATTTGTATCTCCATTGACATCGCCTTCCTTTACCATCTATGCACCAATAAAAAATAAATTTATATGTAAGACATTACCAAATACACACATATATATGCCTAACTTTTCCATCTTTGCAATGAACTCATTAACGTCTTCTGCCAACTCGGGAACTTTGAGAATTTCTTTATAGTCCTTCATCATACACCCCTACATTATATTACCGAAAATTTCCAAAATGAATCTGCCGCTTTGGAACCCGATATCTCAACATCCAGTGGTCCCATTCGAACAAGATATCACCATTAGATTCGTATAGTCGAGACGAATCTAATGGTGATATCTTTGTTCGAATGGGTTCACTGGATGTTGAGATATCGGGTTCCAAAGCGGCAGATTCATTTTGGAAATTTTCGGTAATATACTGTAGGGGTGTGTATGCTGATGTTCACTGGCAGAAAACCATGCTCGCATATGTGCCGAGAGATCGATGATTTTTGACATGTCATAGCTTTCTCCACTGCAGTTATTTTCTTGTTTTTTTAAGATTTCAGCATGTCGAAATACATTTTCAGCAAAAATGTCCTTAACGAATTTTCATGAGGGCAAATTCCAATTCTGTATGTTAGCCGGCACAGAACTGAAAAAACTGTTCATAGTAGGGATTTCTTCGTCGTCATCATCGTCACTATCACATATAGCTACGTCACTCAAAGAAATGAAATCTGCTGGTGGTGGTGATAGCACTGAGCCATCAGGAAGGACATTCTCAGCATGCTTCCTAAGTCTTTTCGGTTCTTTTTCTACTGACTCAAAATCGTTGTCCTAAAGTATTAAAATACAAAATAATTACTTCACTGATTCTTAGCTTCTAGCTAAGAAAATGTGCACGATACTTACGTGTTTTGCACCATCTTCACCTAAAGCATCCACTTCCCGTGTTTCCTTATTCCGAGCTGCCGTCCACTCAACCTATTTAGAATTTATCTCATTTTAAGTGAATGCCTTCACACCACATCACATTTCAATTAACCTGAGATAACGAGTCTCGAACCATGCTCAATTTCTCACGTCCTTTGAAATTATTAAGTTCCCGCTGCATCCACCATTCAGAAACGTCATTCGGAACCTTTTTCTTTAAAACGTTAGATACATTATAACAACCGAAAACGATAAATATTGCAGATTATGAAGATGGCAAGCAGTTGTATGCTAAAGAGCGGCCACTCACCACGAGCTGGTCGAATATCTCTCGAGCATGCAGCTAAAGAGATGCCTTGAAGCCCAAACTCCCACCACGGTCTGTTCGGTTGCAGCGTTCATGTCCACTCTAATAAGAAAGGGACACAATACACTCACCAAATTTTTATTGAGAGAAGCCGCTTTATTTATCACAGATTTAGCGTAAGATCGCAAAATCGACGGCGTCCCTGGCTGTGGTTCGCGCAGTGTTGCCTAAAAAGCATTTGCAATGGGAAATGACAGCTTCTAGAGATTTCAGGAAACGTTTGTGCCATATCATTCGTTGGTCTTGAGATGGTCTGCTTCCCGAACAGATCTTTGCCACTCTCTTCCAACCATAAAAGAAAGTACTTTTCTTTCCACTCATGTAACTTCGTTTTCACGAAGTATTCAGAGTATTCTGCAAATGTGGAAAACAGTTTAGGATGAACACAAAATAACGTAAGATAGTTGAAGCTTTTAACCTACCGAAAGGTTCTCCCGAGAATAAGTTTTCCATTTTCGGTTTAGCAGTTCGGATAAGTTTTTTTAATAGAAACTTGGGGATTGAAAGTCGATGGTCGCGCAAGATTATCAAAGAATTTTTTAATATTAATACCTCGCGTATTATCTCGCGATCACATGATTTTTTACGTGATATGATTGATAGCATCCAACAATCCGTAAAAAGGAATCTGCCAGGACGATGATTTCCTGCATTTTGCAGAATGCCGCAGAATATGCATAAAAAATATCTAAATGCAGAATTTTATTTTTAACATGCATAAATATATTTAACCAATAAAATTATATATATTGATATAATCAACTTTATCTAGTATTTCATAATGCATTCAAAATAGCATTCAAAAAATTCAACGAGCATATATCTTTACATTCTTGTCGCAATTTATTTGCTGCTGCACGTATATTTGATCCAACTTATATTCGACTTGGAGAAATGGAAAGAAGAAATATATGTAATTATTCAGATATTCATGAACTTACAATACTTACTGATGAATTATTACACGAATGGGCAATTTATTGTGAATTAGATATTAATAAAATTTTAATTTCTCTGGATCTCGATCAATTTTGGAAAGAACATATGATAACTTTACCAATATTATCTAATATTGCATTAGATTATATTTGGTTACCAATATCCAGTTGTAATGTAGAACACAGTTTTTCACATTTTAATAGAAAATCGGAAAAGTCTTTCAATATGATGTATTTTAATAAATATATATAATATCGCAGAAAAACTGATTTTTAATGTGTAGAATTTTGCAGAATTTAAGTTTTAATTCATAAAAAAATGGAGATTAAAATAAAAATTAAGAATAAAAAATTATAATAATAAATCCTATTGAGCATAGAGAATATATCTGTAAATTTCCAACATTTTCTGATATATTCATAGAGTAATTAAAAATGTGATTTATGGTATGGCATGCACTGTAATATTGAATTAAAAATAATCGCTCAAAAAAAAACTTTACAAATTATTATGTGCCAATCTTTTTGCATTTATTATCGATTATTGTTGATTAATATTGCGTGTAAGTAGTGAAAACAAGTATTTTTGCTTAAAATTATGTATGTTTGAAGATAAACTTGACTTTATATTGATGTAATGTGGAAGGTTGATTTGTTATCGAGAAAACCCGTACTAAATATCAGAAATTCAATAAAGAGGTATTTCATTGTATCCAGAACATCCAATATATTTATCCTTGAACTTTTCTCGGTTCCCAAGAAGGCATCGAACATTTCGATAAAACACTGGCTGTTAATTCTACTCAAATAATTTCTGCAGCTCTGATTAACTAACTTTCTCGATTTGAAGATAGTTGCTCAAAACATTATTCTTTCGAGAATCACCATTTTTATAGTAAGTACGAAAAATTTGTGCAAATATGCTGATTGTTTTTCCTGGAGTTTAGTGGCAAACACATGATCTGAGTTTGCGGTCTGTCGTGGGGTTTTTGTGAATAAAAGATTGTTTTATCATTTGAGTGTTAGAACAGATGCCAAGCGTATATGTAAAATTGCCTCCCCAACATTTTTTATTCGTACTCCAAGGCCACATTTTCGCATTTTTGTTTTGCCGGGCTGATCAAAAATTACGCATTTATATTGGTTGCGCATAGGATGTACAGGGGAGGATTATACACTATTTAGGTACAAACTATCCTCTGAATTCACACTTAACTATAAACCTAACCATACTACGTATACCAAAATTCTCAATAATATCATACTTAAATAGGTATCACTCACAGGGGAGGGCACATAGATCTTATGATTGATCAATGCTAAATTCTTACGTCCGGCGAAATGTAGTACAATTTTTGTCTATTGTTATTGCTATTGTTAAAAAGTTCACGACATTCTTTAATGTCGCTGTGATCCAGAGTGACGTATAATAATATTAAAAAATTGTTTTTATGTAACGACATATTTTTAATAAAAATCATTCCAAATCCATTAAACTAAAAAGAAAATGTTGAATACAATTCTCATCGCTGCTATCTTCCTCGTTGGATTTCTCGAATTTTTGAAAACTAAAGATTTACTTGACGCTCTTCCGAATCTTATCTTTTCATACAACAGCATAACAACTAATAAAAGGCATCCGGTTTTCGAGAAAAATATTACTCAATGTGCTCGAATTCCTCCGCGTCTCTTTACCCCAGAATCTGTCCACGATTTACGTCCGGACGATATAAAATATATTATGGCTTTAGGTGATAGTATAACAGCTGGATTCGTTGCAAAAGGGCATTATAATGGTTGCCCATTAACGTTGCATAATTTAAATGAGAATCGCGGTATTAGTTTTGCGGCTGGAGGAGATGAAGACGCGGAAACGATACCAAATTTTATTAAATTTTATCGTAGTGATGATGTTGTTGGTGCTTCTGTTGGTGATCATTTACTTGAAGTTTGTGCAGGTATAAGCGAAGAAAGAGAAGCAAGAGAAAAGAAAGTTATTTTGATTTTTAATACTTTTTTTTCTCTAAAATAAAGGCAAATTATGCTTTATAAATCAATACAAACCTGAAGTGGATCATTTAAATGCAGCACAATCAGCAGCGCAGACAACAAATCTTTTACATGAAGTTCATTATCTTTTAGAACAGCTGGAAAAAATACCAGCTGACTTTACTAAAAGCTTTAAGGTATTTTTAAATTTTTTGAAGAGTTGGCTTTGATATAAAAGAAATTGATTTTGTATATTATAAATAGTTCATGAATATATTCATTGGATCCAACGACATTTGCAATGTTTGCACTATTGAAAAAGTTTCACCGCGTGAATTTGAAAAAAATATCCGTGCAACACTGAAAATCATCGAGCAAAATATTCCAAATACTATTGTCAACATAATGGGACTTTTTAATGTCTCACAAGTGTACGCGTTCGCTAAAGGGAAAAGTCACTGTCGATGGTTGTATGTGTTGCCGCAGATTCAGTTTGGTTGTGCGTGTGCTTTTTTACCTGGTAATTAAAGAATTATCAAGTATTTTTATATTGGTTTACTGAAATTTTATTATAAATATTGATTCAAAAAGGACGCATTGGAGATTTTAATCGCGCAAGAATGGATGAAATCACTATGCAATATAATCAAGTCATCAAACGAATAATAAATGATTATGCTTCACGTCCACCAAACCCTTCTTTTGGTCTTATTTATCAAGAATTCAATCTTGACTTGATGACTTTTCCTATAGAAGCAGTTAGTAATGTTGATTGTTTTCATCCAAGGTAGTTGAATTTTACTTTTATTTCGCATACAAATATTATTATGCAGTAATTGATTGAATTGTATTCCTTAAAATATTGCTTTAGCCTGATTTCACATCAATATATTGCCAAAGTCATTTGGAATAATTTACCAGTCTCGCAATTGTCACGCCAATCTGATATTGTTTGGGATCCTGAGCTTGGTGTACGTTGCCTTGTGGCAGAAGATCGCATCCGTACGATACATCACAAATATTGAAATTTGTTGTTTTGCTCAATATAAGCTGTTCAATGTAAGAACTCGAAATTTTCAAATTGAGATCTCAATACACAATCGTCAATCATGAGACATTAGGTGTTTAATTGATCATTGATTACGGACTTTTTACAGAAAATTTGCCTTATAAAAGGTCCGAAAAAACTACATTACGAATAAATCGAAAATTTACCGACATCGTATTCCGTTTATAGTAATATATCAATCTAAATTTACCGATTTGAATGTATTTTGGAATACAATTTCCCCTTTAGAAATTGTGTGAAATTATATATAGTTACCAATTTCTTCCTATTCATTAAACAAAGTTTTTCAAATATAACAAAAACTTAGTAATCAGTAAAATGAATAATAAATAACATAAATAATATATCGGGATAGTTGACGTTATTGTGTTGTGATAAATTCTGGTTTGATGTCGAAAAAATTCCGGCTCCTTACAAACGGGCATGTTTTGCGGTTTATGCGGTTTATAGTGGTTTAAGTAAAATTGCTAACTATTTTTATAAAATTTATTATCATTTTTAATAACAAATTTAATCTATAATAATATAATTTAAAATTTTGATTAGTAACTTTATAAAAAAATATAACCTCAATTTCATTAAAACTGGTTCAAACCAACGATTTAAATGAAATTATTCATTTTTTATCAAAATAATTATTATATTTTTTGTAATAAGTAATTAGTAATTTATCTTTAAATTTCACATTAACTAATTTTTCCTAGAAGCTCAAAAAAATATAATTATATCAAAAATTAGCAATTTAAGTAAAGTAAATAAATTGATAATATATCTAACTTACAAACTTATTGTTGTTTATTGCAAAAGATACAAACTCAAAAAAATGCATTATTGATTTGTTTTATCAATCTAGAAATGCTATATAGTCAAATCTCTCTATACACTACCTGGACAAAAGTCTTGCACACCGAAAAATTTTAATTGTACAAAATTACACATAATAATTATATTTCA